TGCCGGGCATCACTGTCACTTTAGCAGCGTTTGCACTGCATCACTGTCACTTTAGCAAGCAGCTCTCTTGACCAACCGGTCCTGACTCGTTGACATGTTGGCACATGTGTCTACTTCCAGCAGTGCATACCTAGCTTCCAAACAGGGAGTTTGACCAGCCACTGGGGAGCGATGCGGATGACATCAAACACCTCAACAGCTAGCCACTGGCACCCAGAGCGGCGCACTCGCAACTTAAAGGGCCCAAGAGGTGAGCAGTCGTATGCTGATACTGGGGTAGTTATCCCCGGGTCAATGTAGGCGTATATATATATATATAGAATGCTTAATACATAATGTTTATATATATATATATTCATTCCATATTACATGGAGTGTTTGGGAATTGGACTCGCCATCCAAAACCGGAGTTGCCAGGGGACGTTGCAACCTTCCCTTCCCGCTACGGCGGTTTGTTGCGGTGTGAGAACGTGCGGGTTCCTACGGGCTCCAGACTGAGCAGTGGACGGTATACTCAAGTGAGAATTGGCCAACAACGGTGGAAGACACCGATAAGTATATACCGTATGTATATAAATGTGAACATACAATCATGTAGTTATAAACAGAGTTGTATGATTACACGTACAACTGCAGCTTGATACGTTCTGGGATGTTCTAGTTCACTGAGAAGATGAAGATTGAACTGACATGGTCTGTTTTTGCCAACACGAGAAATTCAGAAGTGGTCCATAGCAGTTCCAGTGGTCCCAGTGGATTGTTTCTGGCGGCAACGACGAAAAGCTCCCTGAAAACTCCTCCAAGCTGGGACTGCGACGCCAAAGGGGCACCAAGCGCAGTGACTCGTGGACGTGCCCCTTCTGTTGATTTGTTGTACCAACTTTTGCAAATGAACTTCGGTGAATGGAAGATGACTTTGGTGGACTTTGGCTTGAGTTTTGCCAGGCCACACGTTTCTTATCGTTTTTTTCGTGGAATGAAAACAAGTGTCTCCTCCACGAAGGGTTGAGTCACCTGGACACACGCCAAAAGACCCTTTGGGCCCTTTGGCCGAGTTAGATATCAGCCTGGAGCGTGACTGAATCGGGTTGCACGCACAAAGAGAGTCCACACAAGGCATCCCAACTGCACAATGTGTCTGGAAACAGCAGAGACTAGTCTATAGGCTTCAGCCAGCCCAGCCAGCTCATCAGAAAGGGCAGACCGGGTTTTATTGATGCTTGGGAGACGCCTGTCATGAATTCATTGCTCCACGACTCTAGCCGCTCGAGAGCCGTGCCACAGCTGAGGTGGACCACGCAAGGAAGAGTGCAGCGCAGGCGGTGAAAGCGGCCATGAAGCTGAGCGTGGAACCCTACAGGCCAAGGGCAAGCGGTGGGCTGCAGCGCAAGCTGGGTGGGTTGAAAAGGTATTTAAAGAGTCGAATGATCAACACTGTGTACAGCCAGCAAAGGTTCATGATTTGGTGCTCGTTTTGTTTTGGGTGTTCATATTTTTTTCTGGTCAGACTTATGGACAGTTTCACGGTTCCAAGTCGAACGGAATTTTGCTGAACTCCTCTCTAGTCAGTTTTTGCTCTAGACTCTAGTCATCGGCAAAATAGATAGAAGATAGCATTGAATTAGTCCAAGACATGGTTGATTTCATTTTTGGATCTTTGGGGTGGCCCTGAAACTGCGCCACAGATTGCGCAGCAGACTGCTTGCTGGTTTAGTCAATCTGGTTTGTGCCACTGAGGAGAGAGATCAATATCATCAATGCCGTAAGCAGCGTGTTAAGGGCTCTAAATTGATCAAACTCAAACCTGAAGTAGACAAACAGATGCCATGAACTTGACACATCCCTGATCTGGGCTCTTAGAAGAGCTGGCGGCCGTTCCATGTTTCTACCAGTTCTAGTGCATATATACTGTGCTTTCATGTCCCAGCAGAAGCACTGGAGAAGCATGTTTGATTTTTCCATCTTGTCAGGTGAGGGTTGTTGGATTTTATGTCAGTTGCCGTCCTCCTCCTCCTCCTCCTCCTCCTTCTCCTCCTCCTCCTCCGGACCTCAACCGCAAGTGCAGGATTGCAGTGTTCCCCGCCGGACCTCAACCGCCAGCTCTGGATGGCAGTCAGAAAGAGTGTCCGAAGATACGCCAGAAAGAATGTCAGAAGATACGCCACAGAGAATGTCAGAAGATACGCCCGAAAGAATCTCAGAAGATATGCGAGAAAGATTGTCGGAAGAACGTCAGAAGATATGCCAGAAAGAATGTCAGCAGATATGCCAGATAGAATGCCAGAAAGCATGTCAAAAGATATGCCAGATAGAATGTCAGACGATTTGCCAGAAAGCATGTCAGAAGAGATGCCAAAAAGTTTAACAAATGTCAGAAGATGTCAGAAGATATGCCGGAAGTAATGTCAGAAGATATGCGAGAAATAATGTCAGAAGATAATGTTTCAATACATGCCAGGAATTTTGTCAGACTGAAATGTCATGGTGGGGTTCACTCGAAGTGAAGTGTTTGTTAGCTCTGATGTTTTTGGAGCTGCCACCAGTGTTTGCCAGTTACTTGCCATACTTCTACACCCGAATCTTTGAGTACACCGACTCGCCCATCGTGTTCAACTTCTTTGGCGATCAGCACCACCCTCCTCGCGCGTCGAGCGGAAGACTCGAGTGATCCACGGAATTTGTTGTCTTTGAGTTTGTTTGCGTGAGTTGGGAGGGTCCAATGACACCCAATGACCTTGTGATGGATTTCACGATCATTCATTATCCATCCGGGAGGATGGAACATCATGGAACCTATGAGGGTGTTTGAAATGGTTGGGGGTTGCGTGTAGACAATTTCATTTGATTTGGTACTGTTCGACTGTGTTTGTTGCAGATCAGACAAGAACGTTGTTGTGTATTTTTATGTATGTTTTTTAGTTGAATGCAGTACTTTTCTGTAGTTCAAGTATGCATGCTACATGAGTTGTTTCTTCGATCCTCGAAGTAGAATGGTGCTGGAACCAGATGGTACTGGCGGGCGGCGTATGCATGCGTCATGAATCCAAATTGAAACTGTGGGCCTCGACCTCTCTTCCAATGACCACCTGAGGAGACTTCCCAAAAATAACGAGATGCATTGTGATGTTTCGTTCTGATTGCAACCTGATCCTTCTCCAAAATTGGTTCCGTTTGGATCCGCCCAGAAAGAGAAGACAAGGTCTATCCTCGGGCCTACGAGGTCTATCCAACTGAATTCATTGGACGAGGACATACGGGGACCATCTCCTTTGCCAGGTGGGTCAAATTGATTCAAATGGATCAAATGGGTGTGGACGAACAGCCTGGGTGAGACACCTGCCGGCTGTTCCTTCTTCGAGTGGGGGCAAACTGGGAAGTCTTCAATTGAAACACCACCGACCATTGCACCGGGTGAGTCACTTCCGTCACTTCCGCGCGCGTTTCCGAACCTGGGCTCAGAGCTCGTGCGAGCCAAGCGAGATCCGCTCATGCGGACACCTTCGAGGGCGCCGGGGCTGCATGTGCTGGGCCACGTCGAGGTGCTTAAAACGAATCGATAGACTCGGGACCAGGATGGATGAAAGCAGCTTGAGCGGACATGTTCAAGTCAATTTTTGCTGATGAATCAGGATTTGATCACAGAAGACTGGAGTCTTGCTTGGGTTTTGCGGAGCAAGACGCCAGATCTGACCAGTTTGCTTCGAGGCTGCCAAGTAGTACTGCATAGAACTGCCATGCAGTTGGACGTCTCGACATAGCTATATACTGTATCCTACTGATACTGTAGTGTTTGAGGAGGCCATTGAGTTTGATAAAAGATCGATGCTGACTCTTAATGAAAGGGAGATGCCTGCAGCTAACTATAACTTCAAACACGCTGTCGGACAAGAGGTGTTTCATGCCAGGCGCCTCCAAGACCCCTCAAAGTGTTATAGACCTGGTTCTATGGATCCGCAGTCCCATTCGGATCTTGTCTTGCTTTGTTGCTAAGGGCCAAAAGATGTGGCCGGCCTGGGCCCTGAAGGTGAATCCAAGCGAATCCTTTGCGAAAAAGAAAGGAAGCGTATCATGCTGCGGCCATGCTGTGGTTGTCAACGTTGCCAGGTTTTTGTGTTTGTTTTACTATTTGATGATTGAATGGACATCCACTAGCATTGATTGGCCTTTCCATGTTTTTGACTCGCTGACATTCGCAGACCATTACACCATTTGGCAGACCAGTTATTGCCCACTTGAGCTGAGTCACAGGGAGCTTCGCGTGCCCTTCGGAGTCCCCTGGGCCAGCATGGTCAAGACTGACAAGTCAGGTCTTGAAGTGGTTTCAGAGTAGATCCCACAAACCAATAGAATAGGAATATCTATCAATAGCTAACACATACTTTACTGATAAAGATAACAATCATATACAGTATACAATAGCGACCACTTTAGGATGAGTATGTATCTAAACATATCCAAACATTTGGTGTAGGCCTGCTTTCTTTTCAGAAAAGCGTTGAAACATGTTGAAACGATGGAACACCCAAGACTGACGAGCAGGGTGGTGCACGATGGCTTTGAACTGTTTCCTCAACGCTCTGCAGCTGTTTTTCCAGGTTTAAAACAAACCTGAGCATTGTCTATTCGGCATGCCAACAGATAAGCCAAGTAAACCATGAGTTCCTGTCGGACCTGTCCTAGAAATTCCTCATCGTCAGAGGCTCTCCCCACCTTCCATCATCCTTTTGAGTCCATCAACCTGAGCGGCCAATGAGGGATCTGATCTTCGGGGTGCATGGATTAGGATACAACGGAGTTCGAAGTTCGTGGGGGAATCCGTTGGCAGAGCGGCTGAACGCCTGATGTTCCAGAGGGTTCAAACTTTTCGGTGCGGCTGAGCGCCGTCTAGAAAAGCTCCCACCATATAGGTCACTCGCTGGAAGAGCCTATGGATGCCTGTGGGCTCCAAGAAACATGGAGTTATACAACAGCCCAGCAACTGAATCCTTCACTTCAATCTTGTGACTCTTAAGCCTCTTCGATTCCCAACCCCACGGCTCTCGCAAAGCGAGTCCAGCCGTTTGAACGTTGCTCAGCCCTGGCCGCAGTTCGATGGACTCTCGGTGTTGAAGATTCAGTGTCTGTGCCGTCTCAACACGAGTTTGCAAACAGCTCAAATAAGTGGTTTTAAATAGATGGTTTACAAACTGGAAATATGTAGAGATGTAGATAGATGTAGATAGAAGGTTTATCCTCAACAAATAGATGTAGACATGTAGATGGAAGGAAAAAGACTTCATCCACGTTTCTACACCCCTTAAGAGGAACTCAACGGTGTGATTGAGGACATTTTGACACGCTTTGACTGCACATGTCATGTTGAATGGGAGTCGTTGGAAGTCCAGTCCCCGTTGGAATGCCGCAGACGGGTGAAGACTGTCGACCTAAAAACCTGGGGAGTACGAGAAACCAAAGTGAAGACTGCCGCGATGATGAATATAAATCTGAAGATGGAACATGACAAAGACATTGGTATGATTCTCATGTCAAATCCACCACGCTTTACTTGTAGCTTCCATGCTGACCCAAGTGCTTTGTCGGTCAGTGGGTGCCCAGAGGGACATGTACGGGCTTGTTCGCACGCTTTCCGTTTTATGGTGCTTTGACACCTATTTGCAACAGGTCATCACTTGCCACAAGGCAAGGGGTGCAACCCCCAAGTTGCTAGCAATGGCCAAGTGGGTAAATTGGGGTCCACTTGTTTAATTTTGGAACAGGGCTAGATGTCCCAAATCCCCCCCAAAACTGCTTCAGACTCATTCAGAATCGATTATTCTCGATTGTTCAGAGCCCCATCGTTGTGTTCCTAGAGAAGATCTCCAACATGTTCCAACATCCCGACGTCACATGTCATGTTTTGCCAAAAACCCGACCAAAGAACAGATCAAAGCGAGGTAAACCAAGAGGTTCCCATGGAGCTGGGGACGGGAGCCCGTCTTTGGACTTGAGCCCACGCACTCCATGGGATTGGAATATTTACCCATACATTGACTCCTCAAACCACCCTGATGTAGGTATGTTCATATACATGGAGTGTTTGTGTAACAGATCGGTCGTTCTTGGGATCTTCGCCCATCGGCCAAACATGACGAAACATCCTCCGCCGGCCATCGGCCTTCGCCACTTTGCTGCGGATCGAGGACGAGCAGAGGCAGCTGGCATTTGCCCACTTTCTGGATGCCTCATGGCAAAGCTTTCGCTCTCAAATGCTCCAGGCACCCAAACCGAACGCGACCGGAGTGGCACCGCCGGTGGTCGGCCGGAAGTCTGGAGACGACCGCCGCCGAAGTGGAGTAGAGGACCAAGCGCACGTTTGCTGCATGCGTATGGCCCATATATGGCTTTGGAAACGGTTTTTCTGCATTGTCGCCCGGTTTCGGACTACTTCGTCAGGAGAATGCCCACACCCGGCTTTTGGAAGTTTGAATGAAAGGTCGGAACCAGTGTGTGGTGTCGTAGTGGTGTTGTAGTGTCCTGTGGTTGCTGCGGTTGAGACCTGGACAGTGGCGTCACAGACGAAGCCACCAGTCGAACCGGACGTTGTCACGTGCCCTGACCTGGTCCTCCGTGTCGCACAGCGAGACGCTGCGAGACGCTGGCGTAGGCCTACAGCGAGACGCTGGAAGCGTCTCCACTGGCTCTTCAGGAGTGGGAGTCCAGGCCGGCGCAAGGAGTGAGATTGGGCGCCGGGGGCGCGAAGGCTTTCCGGGGAGACCGGGTGAGACCGGGTGAGATGGGTGGTTCCAAGCGGTGAAAGAGATCTGTAGTTTGTTTGTGGCTCGATTCCTGTGACTGTCACAGCATCTCACAGCCAAGTTCCATTAAGTTCCATTTCTCGCGCACAGCTCGTCTGGAGGCTTCAGGGGTGCCTCGAAGCCAGTCTCGTTGGATCAGACCCGGGTTTGAGTGACAAGACCCGAAGCTAATGGAGTACAGACATGTATACAGACCATCCTACAGTGGTTTCAGAGTAGATGGCACA